TGGTGGTTACCAAAGTATAATATCACTTGATTGGTTCTGTTTTTTATTAAATAGACAATGGTTGTTTGCCTTTTCCATTTTCTGTTATGATAATCTAGATGTTTGATAGATTGGGGTAAATAGTATAATGATTTCTTAATGGTGGTTACCAAAATATAATATCACTTGGCTGGTTTTGTTTTTGATTAAATAGACAATGGTTGTTTGCCTATGCCATTTTCTGTTATGATAATCTAGATGTTTGATAGATTGGGGTAAGTAGTATAATGATTTCTTAATGGTGGTTACCAAAATCTAATATCACTTGGCTGTTTCTATTTTTGATTAAACAGAATGACCATTTTAGTGAACATTATAAATCTTATATGTTTGTTTCTTAATTTGCATCAAGGCTGGGAGGAGTTGTTATTTTATTTGAGTTTTGAGTTTTACTTATGGTCATGTATTGCTTAACAAATATTCAAAATGTATTTAAGGTTGGAAGCAAAATGAATCTGAATGGGTGTAGGTGAAGATTGAAGAAGGTGCTGTAGGGTGGTTACATACACAAAACTGATGGGACTAAACTGATATAATAAATGGCTTTGGGCTTTTGGACAAAATAAATGGGGTTTTTTAGGCTGTGTTGATTTGTAAATGATGGGGGAATTAAGTTAGTTAGAGTTTGTTATTGAATTACCAAGCGAAGAGTTTGCTTTATGAATTTTATTTTTTTAAATTCTTTCTTAAGAACACTTCTTTCTTAAATTTTCTTTCTAACCTTATGTGATCAATTAAAGGAAGTTCCAAAAAGAAAGAATTGAAAAAAAAATAAACCCCAAAGAAAATATTGATTGATTTGTGTAAATTAATGTTTTTATCTGTCATTAATTTGTATCTATGTTGACAATGTGTTGTGTTTGTTCATAGTGTTTTTATTGGGTAACCAATTATTATTTTGCAACAATGTATGTGTTTGGTTTGAATTGGGTGGTCTATAAAAAAACATTTCATTAGTGTGACAATGCGTGCGTTTGTTTTGAATTGGATAGTCTCTTTTAATTATTATATTGGCTTTTTTTCTATTTTACAGGTGGATGAATACTACAAGCGAATGGTAGTATTGACTGCCTTTTTACAAGTCTACATTTGTTCAGGTTTAAGTTTTTCTTATCTCTCTAATGATTTTGTATTTATTGTTGTATAAACTAAACGTGCACTTCTTTGATTGATGAGTGTTGAAAGTGGGGCAATCTCGAGGGCAAAATTTACATTATTTTTGGTTTTATCGTTGACAAACTTTGAAAATGATTGACGTTGTATAAAGTTAAAGATTATTTATAGGAAAATTGACGTTGTGTAAACTTATATAGATTTGGTTTGGTTTTGTTTGGTTTGGGAGGTAGACATTTAGAGGTGTTTGCTGTTTAGATTTGATCAAGAACATCATTTTTGTATTGGCATGGGGTGCTCCAAAGGGAGAACACCATTTTGGTATTCCTCTTATTTTGAAGTTATGTCTATAATAAAGAGGATCCTCTTGCTCAAATGCATGCTATCTATTTATTTTTTGTGTCATGGGGAAACTGAATTTTGGGTATACTTGATTCTCAATGTTCCTAACTTAAGAGAAAAGGATGAATCTAATGATCCGCTTTCTAGGTTGGGTTTTGTATTTCTTACTAATGATTTCTTAGTGGTGGTTACCAAAATAAAATATCACTTGGCTGGTTTTGTTTTTGATTAAATAGACAATGGTTGTTTGCCTATGCCATTTTCTGTTCTGATAAGATTGCTAATTGTTTCAGTCTTTTTCCCGGTTCAGAATTGTTGTGTTGATTTCTGCCTCTCTCCTTCATAATTGTTGGCTTGATATTCAAACAGGTTATTTTAGACCAAAAATGACTTAGATAGAATATCAGTTGGCTGGTTCTGTTTTTGATTAAATAAACAATGGTTGTTTGCTTTTGCCATTTTCTGTTATGATAATCTAGATGTTTGATAGATTGGGGTAAATAGTATAATGATTTCTTAATGGTGGTTACCAAAATCTAATATCACTTGGCTGTTTCTGTTTTTGATTAAACAGAATGATCATTTTAGTGAACATTATAAATTTTATATGTTTGTTTCTTAATTTGCATTAAAGTTGGGGGAGGGGGGGTTGTTATTTTATTTGAGTTTTGAGTTTTGCTTATGGTCATGTATTGCTTAACAAATATTAAAAATTTATTTAAGGGTGGAAGCAAAATGAATCTGAATGGGTGCAGGTGAAGATTAAAGAAGGTAATGGAGGGTTACATACACAAAACTGATGTGACTAAACTGATATAATAAATGGCTTTGGGTTTTTGGACAAAATAAATGGGTTTTTTTAGGTTGTATTGATTTGTAAATCATGGGGGAATTAAGTTAGTTACAGTTTATTGTTGAATTACCAAGCAAAGAGTTTACTTTCTGAATTTTATTTTATTAAATTCTTTCTTAAGAACACTTATTTCTTAAATTTTCCCTCTAACCTTATGTGATCAATTAAAGAAAGTTCTAAAAAGAAAGAGTTGAAAAAAAATAAAACCCAGAGAAAATATTGATTGATTTTTGTAAATTAATGTTTTTATCAATCATTAATTTGTATTTGTGTTAACAATGTGTTGTGTTTGTTCGTAGTGTTTGCATTGGGTAACCAATTATTATTTTGCAACAATGTTTGTGTTTAGTTTGAATTGGGTGGTCTATAAAAAACCTTTCATTAGTGCAACAATGCTTGTGTTAGTTTTGAATTGGGTAGTCTCTTCTAATTATCATTGTGGGGACATATTTTGTGAATGAAAACACGTGGCCAAGGTGACGTCGAAGTGTCAACCGAGGTACCACATGGCCTGGTCATACGCCGAGGTGATCTCAGCTAAGCTGAGGTTATCTGCGGAGGTACCGGAATCCGAGATGAGCAAATAAAGGACAAGAGTACTAGAATAGGGGAAGATCTCAGTCTGGATAAAGATACAGCTCTTAGGGAGTTTATCCCTATCTAGTTGAGAGTCGAGGATGAGTATTGAGCCTAAGTCCACTGAAGTGAGGCTTCTATAGGGATCAAGTCAGTGCTGGCTATAAAAGCAAGGCACCCCCGTGGGTCTCATGTATGTGTCATATACTGGAAACAGTAAGTTATTTCTTGTGAGTTAAGCACAATTTTCCATCTTTGAGAGATATTTGATTACTCACTTGATCGTCGGAGTGCCCACGGGTAGACGAACCACTGCCGGATTCATATCTTTCTGTGATAGGTTGTTCGGGCTTAATCTATTTTGTCGGTGCTCTCCAGCTGAGTTCCCCGTTTGGTTGTGTGGTCAGAAATCAACACCCACAATTTGGCGTCGTCTATGGGAAGTGTAAGGAGAATAGATGGCCAACAACGGGCAGAAAGATAAGATCAGGGACGACGTCCCATGTGAGAGTGGTAAACATGCCGATCCTAACACCGAGGAAGAGAACCCTAATGAAGGAGCACGGGAGCAGGATCTCGGGGATAAGGACATCAGCAAGGAGGCAGAGCCCCCAAAGAAATCAGGCCGAGATGAGTATTATAACGAAAGCGACCTCTAGGTATGGAAAGATAGATACCTAAGGAAAGATGGCGAGATGGAGGGAATGGCCAACAAGTTAGCAGATCTACAATCAGTTGTCAACTTCATGATACAGAACAATGTCATGCAACCACCGTTTCTGTTGCAGGACACGCCAATGCCAGGGGCCAAGACTGACGCCTAGAAAGGAGGGCAAAAAGCAATCCCAGTAATCCCACAGCATGGCAAGGAAAAGGAGCCCTCACATCGGCCTTCACGAGATGTCAGGCGAGGAGAGTCGATCAGGGTTGACTCACAAAGGACACCTCAGACTAGGGAGACGTATGTCAAAGAGCCCTAAAATATCCAAGGGAAAGGCTTGTGTTTTGACACAGTGAATGAAAAGACCAAGAGGACACATAACGACACTGGGAGTAGCGCCCCAAAAGGACTAAAATCCATTGACAGCCGAGCTCCTGGTTGGACTAAGGAGGATTTGAGGGACTACCTCTAGAGGAAGCGACAGAATGTCGAGGTCACATCCCCAGTCAAGCCGAGAATGCCGTTCTCAGTTGAGTTGGATAGGTTTGAGGCCCCAAAAAGGTTCCATATGTCGAGATTCCAGATTTATGACAATAAGTCCGATCTGAACTTTCACGTCAGCTTATATCTAAATTTGATGGCTTTATATACCGGGAATGAACCATTGCTATGCAAGGTGTTCCCTTTGTCTTTTGGGGAAATCGCTTCGGATTGGTTTCATAAGTTGTCAAAAGGAACTGTGAAGAGTTGGGGAGGCCTGATAGAGATGTTTGTGGTCAGGTTTGTGACAAACAAGTTGCAGCCACTAAGGGTAGACTCCCTGATGGCTCTAAAAATTGGCAAAGGTGAAAGCCTGAGGGCTTATGCCAAAAGGTACTATGAGGTGTTCAACCGAATACCGGGATGCAACCAGGAGTTGGCGGTCGTGCCTTTTAAGAATAGCCTGAAGGATGATTGCATGCTTCAGAAGTCACTGGCAAAGACTCTACCAAAGAGTATGGAGGAGCTCATGACAAGGATCGAGAAATATGCCAGAGTAGAAGAGGATACGTTAGGAACAAAGGCACCGAAGGGGGAGAAGAGAAACAACTCGCCTAAGCGAGCCGAGGTAATACAGGATCTAACAGGCAAGAATTAAAGATGAGGGCTGCACAGGCAGTCACCACTATGTTCTAGATCTCAGTTTATAAAGTTTTAGAAAGGATCAGGAACCAGCCGTATTATAGAGTGTCGGAGAAGATTCTTGGCGAGTTTATGGGGAGAAGCCTTGGGAAGCACTGTGTTTACTACAATGAGGATGGGCACCTGATTCAGGGGTGCAGAGCCCTGAAGACGCATTTGGAAGATCTGGTCAGCCAAGGTCACTTAAGGGACCTAGTAGATGAGGCCAGAATGAGGGAAGAGCAGGCGAGACTGCCCCAAGCACCGGCAGCACCACCTCCACCACAACCACAACAAGCAAAACCTTAGGTAATCAATGTGATCCACTCGAAGGTTAATGAGAATGATATACAAGGAGAGACACAGAAGGTGAAACACTTATAACATGTGTGTCAAGTCCAGCAAAAAAGGCCTAGGACAAACGAGTACCAGGGACCGATGGTGTCCTTTACTGAGGCAGACCTAGACATGGCGCAGCATCCCCACAACGATGCTCTGGTGGTGACCCTCGGGATTGGAGAATACCAGGTAAGGCGCATTCTGATCAACCAAGGCAACTCTTGTGACATCATGCATGTCAGGTGTTACAAGGAGTTTGGCCTTCATCACGATGATTTGGAGTAATGCAACAGTCCAATGGTTAGGTTCAATGGAACGCCGACATGGCCTATGGGAGCAATAAATCTAGAGGTGCAGGTGGGCACCAAGAAAATAATCACAAAGTTTACAGTAATTGACACCCCCTCCCCTTACAATGCTATCTTGGGAAGGCTATGGTTGCACACAATGAGGGTTGTTCCCTCAACACTGCACCAACTGTTGCAGTTCCCAACGGAGCATGGAATTGAAGAGGTTAAAAGAGATCAGGTGCATGCAAAAAATTACTCCATGGCAGCAATGAAATCCACCTACAACGTGGGAGAGACAGAAACAGTAGAAATTAAAGACAAGGACATGGAAGTTATAGATGATGTCGGCAAAGAACCAACCGAGAAGAGTGAGGAAGCCTTGAAGAAAATCCTGGTCCAATAAGGGGATGAAGAGCGCTTCTTCCTTCTCGGCTCAGTCTTGGTCGAGGATGAGGAGAGGGAGTTGGAAGCTTTCTTATGGGCCAACATAGAAGTATTTTCCTGGACGCCATACGAGATGCCAGGCATTAACCCCATGGTCACATGCCATATGCTCAAAGTAGACAAGTCGACTAAACCTGTTATCCAGGGAGCGAGGAGGCTGACGTTGATGCATGTTGAAGCAGTTAAAGAGGAAGTGGACAAACTGCTGGAAGCCAAAGTCATTTGCGAGGTGAACTACCCTACTTGGTTGTCCAACACTGTGGTAGTGAAAAAGAACGACAAGTGGAGGGTTTGTGTTGATTTCACCAGTCTGAATAAGGCTTTCCCTAAGGACAATTTTCCACTTCCCAAGATTGATCGGTTAGTAGATGCCACTTCAGGGCATGGACGGATGAGTTTTTTAGATGCTTACAAGGGATACCACC